GCTGAAATACAGGGTTCCTACTAGAATTGAAAATTAGAATTTAGTAAACTAAGCTAATTGGAAATTATAATTATTATTATTATTATAACATAAGACTCTTGATAAGCAAACAACAGTATTTTGTAATGTTTTATAATAATGTTGAGTCCTCGTGCGTAAGGTTTCCATAACTCTATCGGGGGGAGAATCAAAGTCTAGGCTGACACTGCATATATCAATAAATGTACCTGACCATTAACAAACTTGAGGTTACTCACCAACAGAAATACAGTACCAAAATATGTAACCATGGTTCACCTAGGTGAACAACGCTGGTGGTACGGAGGTTTTATACGTGGGACACTCAGAAACTTTTGAGAAACTAAAAAAATAACATATATAAAAAAAAACAAATTTTCAATGAACTTTCCACCAGCCTCTATATAAAGTTCCATGCGTCTGAACCAACTTTCAAACATTTTTTTCAGTCCTCCGCATACACCTCTTCCACGGCCTTCTCAAACGCTGCTAGCGCTTCTTACGGCGAAGAAATCTGTATCCTTTCGAGCTGATTTTTTATTGAAGTTATACTTCTTTAGCCGCGTTATGAAAAAATTATGAGAGTGAAATTTTAAGATGCGCGCGCATCACTGTAACGCAAAAGTAACATAATGAAGTTAGCCGCGGGCGCGTTATGAAAAAATGATGAGAGTGAAATTTTAAGATGCGCGCGGATCACTGTAACACAATAGTAACACCATGAAGTTAGCCGCGGGCGCGTTATGAAAAAATGATAAGAGTGAAATTTTAAGATGCGCGCGGATCACTGTAACACAATAGTAACACCATGAAGTTGGCCGCGGGCGCGTTATGAATGTTAGTGTCTAATAATGGCGTCTGATCACTGTTTTCATATTTATAATATTTATCCACATGTTTCTAGTTTCTATATAGACACAACGTGTTTTAGTTACTTACAAGTGCTAATTACATATGGACTAATAACTTAAATTCAGTAGTGATTTTAATTGAATATTTTGAATATTTATTTAATTTTTCAAATTAAAACTGAACTTAATTGACTGTGTTGACTATCCTTTTCCAGTCCTTTTATTATTTTATTGTAATTATTAATTATTTGCATGCAATTAAAAAATATTTTTAATGATGCTAAAGAAGTATAACTTCTCACGCGCGTACATAAGTTACACGCATCCATTTTTTTTAGGGAATAACAAGAAGTCACACGGTGCCAAATCAGGACTCTAAGGAGGGTGTCTCAAGACTCTGACTGGTGTGGAGTCCAGGAAGTCCTTCGTTTTGATCGCAGAGTGTGCGGGCGCGTTGTCGTGGTGTAGAAGGACCCCGCGGAGTCCGGTGTTAGGTCGCTTGTTGCTCATTACACAAAAAACTTCTGACAGGCATTTTGTGCTATACCATTCGGCGTTGATGCTGCTTTGGTCTCGAAGTTGAATTGAAATTAGGTACTCCGTCGAAGTAAAGAAACTTGTGATCAAAATTTTTAAATTTTCGAGCCGGTCAAGAAGTGGTTTTCTGTCAACTCTGGGTAAGGCAGAATACCAGTGCAGTAGTTTACCTTCTGTGTATGCTGAGCCATATTCAGTGTTGGCATCATTTAAAATACACATTTCTTTAAATTCAAAATCGATTAAAAACAACGCCCGATGGAGAACTCAAATCGATATGGGAAAAATTATTCAAAATTCAACAACTGTCAAACTCCATCCATTCATCCACACGCATCAACAGAGATTCACTGCCTTATTACTATTTTTTTTTGTCGAAGTGTCAAGTCGAATATTTTAGTCGAATAAAAGAAAGCAACTATTCCCTCAATGCTACCAACCCAATCAATGAAGTTTGACAGCTACGCCGACGTCAGCGGTTCGCTATCATAGACAAAACAGCTGTCCTACGTGTGTCAGTTATTTAAGTGTCAGTGTCACGCCCTGTTTAAAAACAAACACTACAAATCGTCGTCAGAATAATAATTAGAAAAATAATTATTATTCAAACGACGCATTCCTACAAAGGATGCCGTCAATAAATAAATTAAATCAGTGCATCTAACCCATTGAAACTTGTTTTATCTATATTTTTGTTGTTGTTAATTTTACTTGTACGTTATGTTTTACTGTATTGCATTAAATGTGTATGTTATGTGCTTGTCAACAATAAAAACATTTTTCTTTCTTCTTTCTAAAAGATCAGATCACACGAACCAATATCGAATTCGTATCGTTTGCGAGTCCGAAATGTCATTGTCAAATGTGTACTGATTTACTTCTCGTTACTATTTTACTGATTTAGTTCTCGTTACGTACTTTGTGCCGCTGCTGTTCAAGTTTCCATACAAAATTTGACATTGACATTTCGGTTTGCAAACTATTTGAATTGGATAATGGTTCGTGCTAAGGGTACTGTACAGAATACAGAAACAAAAAAGAAACTATCCGATTAGGAATGCTCCTTACTGAGATCTTCTGCAAAAGTGGAGGTTAAAATCTATCCTCCTGAAAGAGAAAAAGTAACCAGAGAAGGTTGTCCGAATTTGAGCTGAGAGTGCACTATAGTCAGTTGGTAGGATGATTATGTCGTTGTTGTCTATGATTTCTGTCTTTGTTGAACTTTAGCTTTACAAAAATTCCATTCGAATTAAGGTTCGAACTACATAAAAATATAACAGTAATTAAAAAAAAAAGAAAAGAAGTTGCCTGAATTGTGCGAGGCCCGGAAATGGATTTAATAAGGTTAAACTTGACTACCAGTGCCTCAAGAGTCTATCTATAGATTATAGAAGCCTCTTCCCTGGTTCTTTTTAAAACCATCTCTTGATAAAAAGAAAACCTATTTTCGCTTTATAATATAAAAATAATGACTTTTATTTCACGTTTAATTGTTTACTAGTGGCAAGGTAGTTGTATTATAATACACAATGATATTCTTCTAATACATAATTATAATAGGCACGCACCGCCAGGCCCCGCCCGGTAGCGTCGGAACCGCTATGTCCCTGCATTTTAAATTTGTAATATCTTCGAAAAAAATCATTTAAATTACATAGTTTAAAGGGCCAAATTGATCTATATTAAATGCGCAATGTATTTAAGGTACTTAATTAGATGTTATACTTCTGAAAATCGCTTCGTAAATAAGCTGTTATTTCTCGTAAAAAGTATAGGATAAAAAATGGTTATTGTGGGTTATTCCTTAGAGATAGACATATACCATAGCGAAATTTTTTGTAGACCTTTTTAAGGTGTACAATACTGTAGTTCATTATTTTGATCAATCTCGTAGTATTCAGCCAGCGTTTGCAATGGAAGCGCAAAAAAGTGTTTATTTACGACCTTACATTAAAAACCTCTAAAATTGTCAGTGTTTCTCCACTTTAATATGCATGTATTATACATGTAAACCTTCCTCTTGAATCACTCTATCTATTAAAAATACAGCATCAAAATCCGTTGCGTAGTTTTAAAGATCTAAGCATACATAGGGACTGACAGAAATCGGGAAGCGACATTGTTTTATTTTATTTATTTATTTATTTAATCTTTATTGCCTTTACAATGCAAATGGCGGACTTAATGCCAGTATGGCATTCTTTACTAGTCAACCAGAAAGAAGGTGCAGAGAAAATGAAGCTTTATATGTACTAAGTAGTGATGTGACGCTTCAATTCAAACCCATTACCACCAGACCACATTGAGCGCACAGAGTAAACTTCTGTCCTTCGCCTAATTACGAAAGCACTCAATCACGGGGCAGGAAATTAAAAGGCTCAATATTTGCTCAGCCGCTGATCGTAATCACGGCGCACTCAGCATCACCCGTTGCGTCAGCTGACCCCGCGGCCCTCCCGTGTCCCATGTCCCGTCCGTCAGCAAGATGAATCGTCCGTGGGTATGTTTGTACGGCTGTCCGGCTAAACTCCCATCCACTAGCGAGAAAAAGATGGATTAACGTGGAGTCACTTGTAATACACTCGAAACCTGTCACACGCCGAAAACGGACGTTGGAATTCATTGGACTAATGAAACTCCAGCGAAAATACGAACTAATATTATTAGCTTCTCCTAGATTCAGGGAACGATCTAAACTGAAATAATTATATGACAAAATAAGTACTAATGGCTCGTCTATACTATTTATTTATTATACTCTTTGTTGCATCGTATAGTTCAAAACAAAGTCAAATACATAGTTAGCAAAGGTGGGCTTATCTCTAAAAGATTAAGATTTCCTCCAGCCAACTTAGGTGGTGTCGGAGATTCCAAACTTAGCGAGAAACAGAAAGTGCAATAAACATTAAACTAAAAATAATTTATTACTACTATAGTTATATATGCATATAAGTACATTACATAATACATATATAGATAAATACAATACCTATCCAAATATACATACATATAAGCTATACTATCGGCGAATTAAGATGATTACGTGCAAGACTTTGGTCATTTACTTTTAAAGGTCGTAGCAGACATTTGATATGGTATATACCGGAAGGAATAGTCATTGTATTAACTCGAGCCGTTCAAACCCAAGAGACCTAAAGTCTCACTTGGCAATTATACCTCTAAGTAATTTTAAAGGACCTATTTAACGATACCCCAAACGATGACGACGACGATACAGCTTTCTAGTGTTAATTGTCTCCAAGCAAAACCGGGGACGGACAGACGGACATGAGGAAACTATAAGGGTTCCTTGTCAGGACTACGGAACCTTAAAAATACATTCACGTGATTTATGAATCAACAAATAAACAACAAACTAACAATTAAGTAGATCTACAGTGAAAGAAATCATTTCACAAATTCATAACAGGAACTCCCAATTAATTTACAGTAACAGTCCTGCAGATTAGCATATTATTTCACAAACCATGGAAGTTGGAGGAGCTTCCAAACATTAGCCTCCTGCAAGTGTCCTCCTTCATTGTAAAAGTTTTACTTTAGCTCAAATAAAAGACTTCACCTTAAATTTATCAGTTGGCACATTTAATTTCATTGTCTATAAATACAATGGGGGAAACATTCATCATAACTTGATTCGAGTTTGCTTTCCTTTCGCTTTCATTTCTTAGGAATCTAAATATAATTAGAGAACTTAGTCGGTTATTGTTGCGCCGTTTGCTATCAAGCTCATTTTAATGTCAACCCTCTTCTTCGTCCCAAAGGGCGAACAATGACAAAACCAAACTGAATTAGGTACTTGCGTACCTCTAAATAAAACTTATATAAGATGGCGATCATTTTCTCTTGACAGCCTCGCCTGGGGGTGTGTCTATCTTCTCTGAAGAAACTTCGTACTGTGTGTCCAGTCTGCAAACGAAATTTATACATTCAACAATCAATTAAGTGCCTTTTGAAAACTTATAGTAGGGTCAAGAACAGTTACCAGTTCATTTAATTTTATTTTACTATTTTTTTTGAAGTTATACTTCTTTAGGCGCGTTATGAAAAAATGATGAGAGTGAAATTTTAAGATGCGCGCGCATCACTGTAACACAAAATTTTAACACCATGAAGTTGGTCGCTTTAGCGACCAACTTCATGCGTTACTTTTGTGTTTGCATACAAGTGCAAATCACATATGTTCTAATAAATTATATTCAGTAGCGATTTTAATTGAATATTTTGATTATTTATTTATTTTTTCAAATTAAAACTGAACTTTATTGACTGTGTCCTTTTCCAGACTTTTTATTAATTTATTGTAATTAATTATTTGCATGCAATTAAAAACTAATTTTAAACGATGCCAAAGAAGGATAACTTCTCACGCGCCTACATAAGTACACGCACCCATTTTTTTTTATTATTTATTTCAAGTTACAAACACTCATAGCATAGCTACAGTCGTACTCGAGAGATATAAAGTAAATTAAATTCTTGACTAATATTATTCTATTGCTGTAAAAAAATTAGCAGCATCAACTTAGACAAAAGAAATTTTGAATTTGCATAAAATCACAGTACATGTACGTCCTGTATCACCTAAACGTAAAGGTAAGTGCAGTCGATGTTAATTGAAGATGCGCAGGAACTCAAAGCCATAAGAAAATCCACGTTTCATTCGTTCGGTGACACAATGGCTTTTAGTTAAAGTAGGCTTTAACATGTGTTTTGACGTGACAACGTCTTAAATTAGGTTGCGGCTGGGAGTCACTTATGAAAAAGTGTAACGCTCGGTAACGTTACGATGAGTCTCTCGTGTTAAGTTTAAGTTTACATGTACAATGTTTTAGTAAACAAAATATATTTCTATAGTTAAAATTTGTGCAATTCTTATTTTCATTCAATTCCTTGTTCCTATTGTGCAATTTAATTATATTCATATCAATAAATATTCTACCGAGAAAAAGACGTTGTCACGTAAAATCTTCGCCCGTAAAACCGACTTTACAGGCAACCATTTTTTGAGAAGTTGTTAGGTAAGAATATCTCGATCAAGATTCCGTGTGCCAGTGGTCGATGAAACTAGGGAAAGATCGTCCAGGTAGCGGTGGCAGCGAGCGCTCGGGCAGCCGACGACCCCCGCAGTCGGTCCAGGCAGCGGGCACACAGGCAGCCAACGACCTCCTCGCTGTCGGGGCCTTGAAACCATTACCATTGCTAAGCAGCCATGAACATGTGCGGTGAAACTTCCATTCGGCCGTCGGTCACTGCTGCCGTTGTCATTTACACACCACGATCCAAAACCATTCAATACAATTCACCTAAATTATTTAAACTTGGGTTCAGTAATTTAGTGGAATGTTTTTTTTTATATCATAGAGGGCATACGAGCTGACGGCTCACCTGATGGTAAGTGCTTACCGTCGTCACCCATATAGATCTGCAACACCCTCAATTTTCCCGATATTGTGTAAATGAAATAGGTTTTCAAAGAGTTAAATCTCAGCAGAACCAGACTTCAAAAAAGACAAAAATAATTTTGAAAACCGTCCCTAAATTGACGGGGAAATCGCGTAACAAACAAACATTCACACATATAGTCGAATTGAGAACCTCCTACTCTTTGAACTCGGTCGAAAATAAATGCAAGAAGGTAGATTTAAATAAAAGCCAAGAAAATGCTTGTTGAAATTAAAACACCACTTTTTCTGATTTCCCAATTCGAAGGGAAGTTCGTAAATTGTCCTGCGATGTAATAGGCCTCTAGTGACTTGAGAAGCCCCCACGGGTCGAGTGGTGGAGCACTGACCGCGCGCCTGAAGGTGACATGCAGATGCCGCGTCAGATCAAGCCGGCCACTTGCGTATGCGCATGTTTCATCCGTGCTTCAGATGGATCATATCATGGATCTCATTGGAATACATTATATTCTATTTATCGATCACCTTTGGAATACTGAATACCGGTGCGTTGACAGGGGTGCAGATATATACTTAACTTACTAAGTATATTTTACTATTTGTTATATGATAAGTTTGTTCTCAGTAATTCGATTATACAGTTCACCAAATTTTCCTCATGAAATAAATCGTTGCGAAGATTTGTTCAAACAATCTAAGCCCTAGTAGAGATAACCTTAATTACTATCTATTCTTAGACTTAGTGAGGACCATTTTCATAATGAATGAAAATACGTGCTTAGACCGAAACGACCGACGGGTCGTACCACTGTCGTACCAGATTCACATCTGGAATAAAGCTATCAACGAATGTGGCGAGATACTGATCATCAATCTTTGAATTATTAAAGCTTTTGATAGGGTCTGGCACGGGAGCTTTTTCTTCGGTCTTCCGGAATAAGTTTTTCGTGTTCGGTTCTATGACTAGAATTTTTTTTTGAGTGTGTATGCTCTCGGTTGCTGATGACCTTTACAGCGTCACTGGGTTTGGGGACGGCGAGATCCAAAGGGGACGTCAAGCCGAGAATTGGCGAGTGCCTCTGGAGGCTTTGCCTAGATGGCTGCCTACCTACATTAGCGTAGATATTGTGCCATTTGTTGGCTAGTGCGTGGTTTATATTAACGAATGCCGATTTGCTTAAGCGATCTGTCATAATTTCTACATTTTTTTGCTGCATTATAATAATGATGATTCTTGTTGGAAATTTTCATTCCTATACAGACAATATAGAGCTTGACAGGTAAACACCAAAGAGACTCTAGAAAATCTTATCGTGGAAATCAATTTTAATTTGGATCACATTTCCGAATAAAGGAACTTAGTATCATGAATGAAAAAAGAGAAGTTAGATCAGGTTTGCTCACTATATTGAGAAGTGGGACCAGGTTTGCTCACCTTAAAGAGAAGTTAGACCAGGTTTGCTCACTATATTGAGAAGTGAGACCAGGTTTGCTCACCATAAAGAGAAGTTAGACCAGGTTTGCTCACTATATTGAGAAGTGAGACCAGGTTTGCTCACCATAAAGAGAAGTTAGACCAGGTTTGCTCACTATATTGAGAAGTGAGACCAGGTTTTCTCACCATAAAGAGAAATTAGACCAGGTTTGCGCACTATATTGAGAAGTGAGACCAGGTTTGCTCACCATAAAGAGAAGTTAGACCAGGTTTGCTCACTATATTGAGAAGTGAGACCTAGGGCCCTACTCTTTTTCAACGAAAAACGAAATTTCGATCGAAATTTCGCACGTTCCTTATCCTGTTTCTTTTTTGTTTCTATAATACGTTTGTCCGAAAATAGTTTAACAATTAAATTCTCCAAGCCTACTCTAATTCACAATACTTTCGAATGACAAGTTGAATTTGACAGATAATTGTTCGAAATTATAATCTCAAATTGACGAAATGTTTTACTTTCATTTTCGTTTTGGGATTTTTGTTTTAATGAGCCCTAAATGTCTGTTAGAATAATTTTTATCAAGGCTGATTAGCGCGAGGAACATTTTTAGTATGTAAAATTAACAATAAACCAAATTTTTATTATTTATTTTATTTCCAATACTTTAAAACGACAAATTTAGCATAACATACAATCGATTGTATCAACTCTACAAATTAGTCGGATAACACTATCAAAGAAGGTACTTTCAATGTTATCAAAAATTTAAGTAATATTGTTTCCAAGTAAAAAACCTAATCTAAAAAGTGGAGATATAAAGAACTCACAAACATGATAAAATATTAATTAAAAATTAAGTATAAATTGAACTATAATTCTTTTCACAACTTCCTTTATTAGAGATTGAGCAATACATTAAATTAAACTATATTAACACTAGCTCGGTATGGAAGTTCACTGTTTTAATTAAATGCAAAGAACTTCATCTAATGACGGGGTTCTGTTGTAAAACAGAGTATGACAAAAGGAAAATTTGCAAAGAATATAAAATTTTGATTTTGGCCAACTTCTGTAGGTACAAGGGCAGTTTGTGAACGGTTTACCGACCAAAAATTAAGTACTCATGAAAATATAATTTTAATCGCCACTTTTAAGAACAATCGGCAACACACAAGACATCTTATATATTCAGCGTGCATAAATCACCCATCGAAATTCAGATATCAAGTTCACGAGCAGCACATAAATACGAAACAGATGTTTCCATTAATTATCTGCTAGTTATTCATGGTGGTGCCCCTCGAATAATCCATCCGATTATACAGGTCACGGCGGGATTCGAACCGGCGTCCGCGGGCACGGAGGCCGATCACCTGTGGCATTGACACCTCCGCTTTCTGGAAGCGGATTGAAATTTATACAACCAAGGGGAAATCTCCGATCGAACCATATCAAAAAACGATTGTTCGCTCCACATGTTGCATATGATGATGACCATAAAAACTTAATGATTTATATATGGTCGAATATATTTTGTGTCTCGGGTGGCGGATAATGTTCTCAGTCGGCGCATACATACATTTCTATCAGAACTAGGAATAGTTTATCCCTACGACGTAGAAGAAGGGATGACCTCACTCATGATGTCATTCTACTGAATAAGTATGTATTCTGGGTATACAGGACCGCTTTTTGAATACCACATCGAATCACTAGCTGACAAACAAAACCTTAAAGATGGCCCCATGTGCTGAACGGAAAACAAAAACAAATAACTTTTTATTTTTGCTATGTATTTTATTAAGCCTATCAAAAAACAGAACTAAATACTTATAAATACTTTAAAGAACGGCTAATTGATTCATCAATATTTTATTATTTGTCTAAGGCAATTATGTTGTTTTTTAGATTTATCTTATTGTAAAAAGGATGGCGAACGAATGGCAACTAACACAGAAGGTCTGCATAAAAGAGACCACTATCTTAAATATATAAAAGAAGAAACTGACTGACAATCAACGTACAGCCCAAATCGATAGATCTAGGGATTCCAAATTTACCATGTGGG